TTCTGTTAGCAGCATGGTACTGTTAGTAGTGTGGTTCTGTTAGCAGTGAGGTTCTTCTTGGGGCAGATGGCAGCGGTGGCCATCTTGAATTGGTTTAACTCAACAAACAACTCGTAATGATTGCTCAAACTTTGTGTTAGGGTTAGTGTCAGCCACACACAAAATTTGGGGTCATTATTTGTAAAGGTGGCTGAGGTGTCGCTTTTGTGTTTTTAAAGTCAGTTGAATCTTGAATGGGGTGACTCTAAAAGTTAATCAGTTGTAGATGAACAGCTGATAATTACTTTCTGATAGTCACATTAAAATGGGCCCAATTGTATGAGATACAACTAACAGATGGAAAAGAAAAAAAAAAGTTGTCCAACACCTGTGAAAGTACCATCAAGGCCGTATGACAACTTATTTAAATTTCAGTTTGAACTTGATGTCATAGTTTGTCACATTGCCGAGTTGTGAGTTTCAGTTTCAACTTGCAGTTTTGACTTTTCTCATCTTCAACTACTCCAGCAATCTAAACAGGCCTTATTAGGAGCGGGTGCAATAATAAAAAAAAATAAGACCAACAAGTGTACAAAAATTGAGCTTTATCTCCTATTTCACCTACAAGTAGAAAACAAGTAGTTTGCATATTGAACTGCGGTGCTGCTAGAGGCTGTTCAAACACCCTTGTTTACATGTAAAGACAATTCAGCTCTGATATTTTACATCCTTGCTGCCATTAAATCAAATTCACATTCTAATACTCACTATACTGGGTTACTGCAGGTCTTATTTATAGCTCCGAATGTCAGTACAGTCAGGAAACCCTCGTCTATTCTGGGAGACTTACCCTTCAGGAGTTGCTGTACATTAAAGCATGTTTGTGAGTGGATACTTGCTACGACAAACCACTGCTAAGACAACATGTGCTTTGACCCACAATAAGACCATCTTGACTATAAAATAATGGCAGATTGACAACATCTGTTCCTTTTTCCTTGTCGTTCTTTGACCTGTGGGGTCCCGTTTGTCTTTGTCCTCTATTTATCACGAGAGATTTACCGACTGCCAAGCACAAGGAAGGGGGCAGCCTCGGTGTACGGCGAAGTCGCAACCTCACAAAATGTGAAAAAAAACAACAACACGGTTTTGTTCAAAGGTTTAGAGAACGCTTAAAGCACATTTTGATAAGTCCTGTAAATACAATGCTGACAGACAACAGGGGAAAAAACTCCAAGGGTTCAGAAAAAGTGGACTTGTCCAATAAACTGGAAGCTGTATGGGCACGGTTATGTTTGAAATGTAAAATTGTCATTTTAACAACTACACCAAAGTAACGGGATGACAGTTTTTAAGACTACATAATTATATCAGTGTATTTTTGAAACTTTACGGTGTAAATAAAGTTAGATTTCTAGCACAGAAAGATAAACATGCCCTACCACTCACCCACATTGACACAGTCGGTTGGTCGCAGGCATGGCAGACATGTTGCCTAAACAAATGCATTCATGAGACTGTCAGCTGGAAGTCAGAGCAATTTCTAAAAATCTATTTAACAAAAAAGGTACAAATTTGACACTGTGAACACTTTGATTATCATCTGAAGGTGACGGCGATAATGTTGTCTGTTTGTAATGTTAGCAAAATATATCATGAACCAAAAGTATGGATAGTTTTGAAACTTAAGAAATAATCGCTGATGTGCATTTGCAACTAACAAAAACTAACTAAACCCATTCAAGATGGCCACCACAGGTAAACAAAGTCAATTAATAAACACTGACCTAAAATCCGTTGTGGTAGAGATTGCACAAGATCTTTAATGAAAATTTACTCTTTGGACTTTTACTCTTTGAGTTTCATCAGTTAGCAAAATATCTCCCGAATCACTTAACCATTTCCAATGAAACTTTCAGGAAATAATCATCAACAACAGTTTGAATTCAAGACACAACAAATTGACCTTAGATAACACAAGAATGTCTATGTTTTATTCAATTTTACAGATATTGTGCATCAGTCTGGTGTGGTTGTAGCTGAGAGTCATTCACATTGTATACAACAAAGGCTACTCGCTGCTCAAGATCAGCCGGTAAAACACTGACATTAACAGCTGGCTGTTAGCAAAATATCTCATTTACGACTGGATAGATGCTAAATAAACTCTCAGAAAATAAACATTGACGGATGAACGTCTACAACTGAACTTTTGAGTTTTAATCCAAGATAGCCGCCACATCAAATCTACTGTAGCCAACACATGAATGGCTATAACTCAGTCAATTTTACAGCTCTTGAGCTTAAATCTGGTGTGGTAGTGGCTGAGGGTCATACTCAACAAATACTCCGAGCACTAACAGACAGCATGGGACAATGTTTTCAAAATTCCCCAGAGTGGCTATAACTTCCTCATTTCTCTGCACGAGATGATCTTAGTCTAAAAGTCTGACACAAAATGGTGATATGCATTTCCTTAAGAAACGACAAACCCTTAATTAGGAACTGTAATTTAAAATGCATGCTTCCTCAAAAACTGATTTCAGTAGACATTTTGTTTTGCCTCTTTCTTTTCCACCACAAACAAACAAATAAATTGTTTAAAAGCCTGTTCGGCATTCATTAAATACACAGCCTGAATCACCATATTTTTTTTTCTACACGCTCACATTATTTGCAGAGCCCCGAATCTGGGACAATCTTGTGATAATCCATTACATCATGTGCTTAGCTAGCCAGAGCACTTTCTAACCTCTGGTGCTGTATTCATATATGAATATTCAAAGATAGTAAAAAAAAGGGAAGATGTGTGTCTCCCATTAAAAAAAAAAAACAACAACAACAAAGAAAACTACTTAGTATCGGTTTGTATTACAGCTTCGGATAATATTTGACCCAAGCAGTTTAATGGAACTAAAAGCCGGTGGAAAAAGATAAGATGAAAGTGCTGCTCGCGTAGAAATCTAATAAAGCTTATGAAGTTGGCTTCTGAATGAGCATGAAGTTAGCCCATATAGCACTTTCTGACGAACCACTTTTATCGGTTAGCTAGGTGACTTTTGTTTACCATTAACTCGAGTTAAGTTCACTACGTGTTTCAGAACCAGGTTCAGCGAATCTGAGCAGCAGAAACGCGGCGAAGAAGTAGCGTTAGCCGTCGCTCGATGAGTCAGCTTCAAGATAGCGTTTAAACTAAGCATGGTTTGGTTTTTAGGTGTTTTCGTGTGTCATCCGAGAGCTGTTCTGTTTCTATAAATACCCTCTTTCCTCCTTCCCGGGGAACACGGAGAGAACAAGAACTAGCTGGCCACATGCTGTCGCTTATCTCTGCCATGCTGGCTGCTCTCGTCTAAGCAAAGTCACTTGACCAAATTTTACTTTTTAGCCTGCTCGAACACGCTAGCTCGTTTCCTGCCGAATTAAATTCAAAAATAGTGTTAACAATAATATTAATACTCACAATCATTCAAGTCGTGTCCCGGTTCGGTGTGTTTGTAAAAGACATGCGCAGTTTTATTCAGATGTCTGTCTCACACAATGTCAGAGATCAGATCAGCAGCTGCTTCCTCCATACACGCAGCGCGCGGATCACACAGCGCCACACGGCAACGCTACCAAAACCCCTCGCCGTCGTCATGGCAACAGGTCCACTTCAGCCAATCAAAACTCCTCCCCTCCTATCTCCCCTGGCAACTGCCGCAGCGCTGGAGCGCCGCGGACGCGCACGCCGTCCAATTTCTTTGCTTTTTTTTTTTTTTTTGCATCGCGCGACGCTCTTTCAGTTTCGTCGCCAGCGGCTTTTCCAAGTCATTTAAAAATAAATGTGTTTTTAATTAATTACATTAAATAATGAATTACAGGATGAAATGTCAACTGGTAAAGTGTGAGGGTGACACGCAAACACTACTCAGGGCTGGCTGCACAAACACCTCAGGGCGGAGAGAGACCGCGCCCTGCCTCGTGACGATAGTGGACCCTCAACTGGGGCCCCTCCTAGAGTGAACCATGGTACAGGAGGTTTAATATGACCACACCAGAAGCATGCTGGGTAATATCTAACCATATTGACAAAAAGTAACAACAGAACAAATAATGGCCTATTTGAAGGAATGTCTATCGCCCGCCGCCTTTCTTGTCAGAGTTTTGGACTGGATCATCTTATGAGCAACTTTCAACTTTCATATCATATTTTAGCTCAACTTGTACAAATTTGACTGAGTTATAGCCATTTTTGTGCCTTCTACAATCCATTGGCTGTGGTGGCCATCTTGAGTTGAAATGACTCCAAATGATAAACAGCTGTAGCTGTGCATCCAATAAACATTTCCTGAAAGTTTAGCTGATATCCTTCCAGTGGTTCATAAAATATTTTGCTAACAGACAGACTAAGTTAACTCCAAGAATCCATGTCAAAGTTTTAAACGCGGATCTCGCACGATCCGGTAGCTGTCAGTTCACAAGTTGGGGAATCAGTCTCAGCTACTACCACACCAAACCTTAGCCGAATATATACAAAACCGACGGCGTTATAGCCATTTGTGTGTTTGTTTTGTAAATGTACAAACAACTGCACGTCCAGACACAAGTAAAAACACTATTTTACGTTATGTGAAACTCCATCTCAGAGACTGGGCCTTTTTATTATATATTTTTTTTTTATTTTATTTTTTTAAACGTCTGCACAAATGCACTTCTGGTATAGTCTGGCGGTTTGGTCTAGTTTTATCTGTCTGCCGGGTTCAGCCCCATGGGCCAACCGAAATCACACCAAACTGTAACTTTCACACGATGGTGCAGCTTTACACATCTCAGCCACTCCATTTCATTAGCGCACATGAGTAGCACTCTGTGAGCTGATCTAACAGGCTCTCTGTTTTCTTTTAAAGCCGAGTGCCTTCCATGGAGCGGAGCAGTAAATACTTCTGCGCCGGCGTGTTCGTACACTGTTGCTCTTCCCCCTTCTTTCAACCGGACAAACAGGCTCCAGACGTGGTGTTTATGTGTCAGTGTTAACAGCAGAGAGAAAGCCTGCCTGCAAGTATGATGCTTATCATTATTTTTAAAAAGGCTGCTCCAGTTAGTCCTCATCACCAACAGCCAAAAGGGCGATCATGTTTTTTTTGCCCGTGTCTGCGTGCATGTGTATGTTTTTATGTATTTTCATGAACCAATGGGTAAATTCAGATGGAACTCTCGGAAAGTAATTTTAGTGATTAAAAATGGCCGCCACAGGTAACTTATCCGACTATAAATCTGTCAGTTTTACAAATACTCACCTGAAATTTGGTGTGGTGCTGGCTGAGTGCCCTGCACAACTTCTACTATGACTGCTAACTGATTGCACAAGATTCCGTTTTAAAATGTCCTCAGTAAATGCTGGCGTCAACTACGTTTGTCTGTTAGTAAAATATCTCGCAACACAGCACAGAGTTTTTAATGAAACTTTCAGAGAGTCATCATTGGACGTACAGTTACAGCTGATTAGTGTTTGGTGTCAACCTGATTCAAAGTGGCCCCTACAGCCAATCAGCTTTAGCAAACACATACGTAGCTCTAACTCAGTCAGATATTGAGCTAAAGTTTGTGGTGTAAGTAGCTGAGAGTCATAAACACTAAGCACAAAAGAGATAATCTTAATCAGATTGAGCATAATGTAATTTATTTACAAGGTTCAACCACAATGGCTATGACTTTGTTTCTTCCCACCGTAAGATAACCTGAATTTAAAACAATTTGATTGTGTATGTAATGTGTATTTCTAAAGTGGTTTTGTATATATTATACTATAAATTGAATAAATATATGGATTCATTGTGGTATTTTCAGTGTTTCATTTGTATGTTATTATACGGTATACATTTACTCATGCCTTGATTCATTCATGGTTTCTGAGCTCAGGTTGCTGTTGGACAATTTTTTTTATTTTTTTTATTGTGCGCCGAGCTATTCTTAGAACTAGCAAGAAGCACAAACTCTGCCCTATTTTCCCTTCTAGTATCACTCCCAGGGATGATGAAGTTGCAAATCTAACAAATGAGAGATAGGAGAGCAAGATGCATTAATCACCAGGGAAACAGCTGATTGAGGATGACTTTAAAAAGAGAGAGCCATTACTTTGTGAGCCTGCAGTGGTGCTAATCGGATTGCAGAACTGTTAGGCTAAAACAACATAACCCACCAGCCACCAGCAGTGGTTTTCTTAATGGAACTGGAGCTCTTTATGATCTGTATCCCAGTACACCTGCATGATGAGGTACTTTATGTTTTTCTGACATAAAAGATGAACAAGATAATTCACAAAACGACTGTATGGACTCAACAGCAAACAGTTCAGACGATGCTAAAGGATTAAAGGGATAGTCTGGGAATTTTTAAAGTGATGTTCTGACAAGTAGTCATCATGAATGTATGTGCTCTGACTGAGCATAGAGGCTGCTAAATGTATCAGTCCACCTCATTAATGCTCAACAGAGCACTTTGCTCTCACACTGCAGGTTTACTTGTGGTTCCTAGAGTTTCCAAAAGTAGAATAGGAGGCAGGGCTCCTCTCTTGTGGAACCAACTTCCAGTTTCTATCCGTGAGGCTGACACCTTGTCTACTTTTAGGATTAGACATAAGTCTTTCCCTTTTGATAAATCCTATAGTTAGGGTCAGCTTGGGTTTCCTGAGCTACCCCTTAGTTATGCTGCTATAGGCTTAGACTGCTGGAGGACAAATTGACCACATTTCCTCACTCTGTGGCTGTCGTTGCTCTACTCTACCTGTTTGAATTTGTAATTATTTCTATCCTTAACACGTTTTTTGTACGTCCTCCTATAGAAAGTACACATGGACCTGCCATTCTGTGTTGTTTTCTCCTTCCTGTGCTCTCAAACAGGTCGAAACAGATGGAAGCTCATCCTGAACCTGGTACTGCTGGAGGTTTCTTCCCGTTGAAAGGGAGTTTTTCCTTTCCACTGTTGCCGGTGTGATTGCTCAGGATGGCAGACTGCGACAAAGTGAAGATCCAACACAGCGCTGGCTTCTTTAGATATATACTTTTACTTATAGGCTTTTATAATGTATTTGAAAGTTTTTGTGCAGTGCCCTGAGACTACATCTGCTGTGACTTGGCACTATATAAATGAATCTGTATGTCTTGTCAGACCAAAAGTGTACTGAACTCATGGCAGCCTGATACATTCAGCAGCCTTCCAGCACCATGCATGATCTATGCCAGACCTGGGCATTGTACGGCCCCAGGGCCACATGCGGCCCTTTGGTTGACTCTGACCGGCCCCCGTAAGGGGAATTACAAAATACATATGTAATCAAACGAAGTTAACCAAATCCAGATATAGATCCTCTCTCACTGATGATGTCAGCTTTGCTTCACATCTCCACCTCAGACCTTCAACCTGACTTTAACATTTCCGTTAAAGCCCAACAGAGACTAGACTTCTGTCACTAAACAAGAAAAAAGAACTGAAAAACGCCAAATGAGATGTTTAGACTACTAATGTAGGCACGTGAAGAACCGGGACTCGAAATCACAGTTCAGTGACGATCACTATTATATGATGTTTCATAATATTTGGAGTACAAAGACAATATTGTGATATATTTATAAAGCTAAGAACTTTTTCCAGCAGTATATAAAACTCAAAATGAGTTTTGGGGTGAATGTGACTGAAAATGATCATTAATATAACGTCACAAATGGTAAAACTGTTAACAGTTTACCATTGTACTAGGAAATTTAATTGAATAAATTACATTTTTGTAAGGAAGCCTCACTTTTTCGTTGCTTAATCATAACAAATACTCTTACCAGCTTGTTAAAACAGTGCTATGTACTGCGTTTAATAATGAAATACTATTATTATGCAGTATTGAGTTAAGTTGAAATCAGGTCTCTCTTGTAAATGAGTCCCCGAGGCTCAGTGGGATTTACCTGTCTAAATAAAGGTTGAATGAAAAAGTCATTTGTGCCAGCCCTCCACAATATTTGCTCTTTCTCATGTGGTCCCATGGAAAAAATAATTGCCCACCCCTGATCTATGCATATGGAAGTGTTTCTGAGTCCATGTAATGATGTTCATGGCAAAATATGACCTGTTTTTATTAATTTAGTGCTGAGTGGGGGCCTGAAGGTCAAATTTGAAAATGTAGTCTTCCTAATTTTCTGCTGAGGAACATTTTTCAGAAATTGTTCCACTTAGATGTACTGGTAATTCATTGCAAACTGCTGAGCCCTTCTTTACTTCTGAGAAATTCAGCCCATCATAAATGCCCTATCTGTACACAGTCATCTTACTGACCAGTTGCTAATGAACCTGAGTCAGTTCTAAAACAATCCTCAAGCTGTTTTTTATTTGTACCACTGAATTTTCCAATCTTTTATCACCTTGTTGCTTTTTTTTTTTTTTTTTTAGATGCGCCCAGGGCTTAATTTGTAAAACGACCGATGCCGGAACCTGGCAACCTGTGAACGTGCACGCTCACAAGACAAGAACCTGACAAGTTGTTTAATGACATAAAATAAATTTTGTTGGCAAAGAATAGAGTCCTGACATTAACATTATTAAATATTCTGTATTTAAAAACAAAATAATATTAAAATTGTGCTTTGACAAACTCATCGAACATTTTGT